CTTTCGCTCTCTTTCTTTCTCTCTCTCTCTCTCTCTCTCTCTCTCTCTCTCTCTCTCTGTCTTTCTCGCTCTCTCTCTCTCTCTCTCACTCGCTAATCTTGTTCTTTTTATTATTATTCTTGAGATTATATCAATTATATATACGCTTGCGATAATAAAAAAATCTAAGTTCTTGCACAAAGCATAACACCACTTGACGATGCGCATGCGCAGTCGATGAAAGCTGTCGCGATATTCGCTATTTTAGAGGCAATACTCTTCATTCAACTCTGTAATCTCTCGGTTAGCGTGACTCTAGTAAACATCGAAAATCTGCGCAGAATATCCTTCGCTAATGACGTCGTCTGGCAAATTTGGTCCACATCACGTGACCGGCAACGAAGGAATCGCGAATAAGTGAGGGTTTGTACGCTAGCAACGTATGACGCTTACGATGTATAGAATCGCGGGAGTTTTGACGCAAAGATAAGCAAACTGTAGTTAACGCAATATTTGCGAAGGTGTGTGCAACATTTTTCCTATTAACGTAGCCGGCAGTATTATTATATACTGCACTTGCGTATAAAAAAACGAAATCTTTAGAGGTAAGGAAAACAATATTGTTACATAACCTTCACCACATCGCACGCGATGCGTCATATAATATAAGACACACATTGACGAGTTTAATAGCAGCCGATCTAGCAGATATTTGACCGCGCCGACCTGACCGACCCTACACGATGCTTCGAAACAACCCGGGATTTGACATCGTGTAAACTCATAATCCGGTGTAGCCACGCTCTTTTGTGCTCGGGTGTATGTATTTTCGAAGAATACTTACGCCCATCCCTCCACAATTCTGGAAAAAAAAGTAAAAATGGTATCGTGAAACTCATTTCAATTATCTATTCTAAATGAATCGGAATAAATTTCAGTGGAGATTAAAAAAACTGTAACGAATAAACTTGATTAGTAGAGAGAATGAAATATTTATTAATGGACTAGAAACGAGTAGAATATAATAGAATAAACTCGAACAGAATAGAATAGAAAAAAAAACCAGAATAAAATAAAATCAAGAGCTAATAATGCGTAGTAGGAATATCAGCTCTTGATAGAATAGAACACGATATGATATAATGTAATTAAACACAATAGCGAATGGCAGTACTAGAAATCTACTCAGTCAGGATGCACGCGAGCCATAATGATACTTTCGTGCGTGCGCAATAGAATGATTGCCGCAATCTAACGACAATATCCGCAGCGCATATAATATCCGCGCTGCGCCGACTAAAATACTTCACGCCCAATTGAATTTCGCGTCGCTGTGATTACAACCAATTTGCGGCGAATTTACGAAGCAAAAACGACCCCCCCCCCCGAAATCATGCGCAGGAACTATCGACTACATCTCACCCTGGCGTCGATCTGCATCGGTGCAGCGGCGGGCGGTAATAGAATGCACAAAAAATATCGTGAGAACACTACACACATACACATACACACACATATATATATATATATATATATATATATATATATAATCGTTGCTAATTTTATCTGTTAGTGTCCGTGTTATGTCTGTTTATCCCATTTCATAGTGTCTAATGTTTCTGAAAAAGGGGCTAAATTTGGAGATGTGAAAAACTAGCATGGTAGAATTATTTGCATATAGTTGGGTTATCCACAGCAGACACATTTTTTTTAAATGGTGGCCCAGCATTTGTTATTAACTCTAAAAAGTCATGTCGCTGAGGAAGAGACTAGTTGTTCTCATTGAGTTTGTTATAAAACTACTACAAAAACGTCACCTATACACATAAACATAACCTTACTATTTATTATGAATTAATGAAGATTTAAAACTTCGTTTCTTGCATTGTGCCTCAGTCTTTGAGCATCGAGCATCTACTGTGAGCTTATGGTTAATTGTGTGCTATTTTTCTGTCTGCTTGCAGGGTTATTTCAAAGTCCTTGGCAAGGGCCATTTGCCGAAGCAACCTGTCATTGTGAAAGCAAAGTTTTTCAGCAGACAAGCCGAGGAAAAGATTAAGGCTGTAGGAGGTTGCTGCGTGCTCGTAGCTTAAATGTATTTGCCGGCCTGTATAGTTGTAATAAAATTAATTATGTGAGATAAATCTTTGACTTGCTTCTTCATTTCATTGTAGTTTTCTGCTTGAGACTGCAAAGAAGTGTGTCAATCTTGGGAGTGGAATAAATTAGTTTATAATATCGTCCAAACCATCCCAGTATTAAATCTATATTTTCGACTGCAAAGTCTGGTGCTTTAGCATGTGAACCTGTAGCATCCTCGTGTTGAGTTTACAGCTTGTGGTTTGGTTGTAGCCATCGCAATGCAGACAAGGTGATGTTAAATTATTAATATATATTGTCCAGCATGTACAGTTCACATGTGGGTATCCGGAAAACCGCCATGGAAGTGTGTGCCTCTTGTTGACTGGTCATGCGTGTGTACGTGAATATATTTGAATGCCATCATGGTAAGAAAGTCACACTACACAAACAAAAAGTTCATCTTCTGACAAAAACAGTCCAAATTATTTATTTCACAATCACTAGATCAATAAAATTAATTATTTCGTTTTTGTGCAAAGTGAGACCTACCTTAAACCACTTAATTATTTATTTTCTGTAGAATTGTGCAGTGTACAACTACCACAGTAAATTATTTGTACGGTACAACGTACCGCCTATAGCACAATAAACTAACTATGCATGCAGACAGCGCAAAGTATAATCGACCGATCAATGGCTTGTATTTTATATCCCCCCTCCCTTCACTTGTAGTTTAATACCGTTACGTTAATACCATTACATTCCAGTCGTCTGATGTCTATGTGGCGACCCGTGTCGCTGGCGCCATCTACAGGTTGAGAGGCAAAATAGTGCAATGCAAAATCTGATCGCATGTCAGCGTACTACCTACGAAATGCCACAAAGTTGCCCATGCAGGAATGGTGATTATAACGACTTAATCGTGAGAGTGTCTGGAGATTTCTACTACACGTATATAGCTATAAAACATGGTGCACTTCCCATTCTCCCCGGTTGCACTGGAAATATGATTGCCCGTTATCTGGACATTTAACATGCTGTAGTAAACTTGTGAAGTAAACGAAAAATAAAACATATTTGCGATATTTTTTCGTTACAGTCTAAATCTATTCTAGTATAAATATAATGATTTTCTTCAGCTAGAACTAATTGGGTAATCAAACATGACCGAATTTGTTAGTAATCATTACCATAATATCGATTATCATAATAACGAGAACACGCACGGCTTTTGGTATTATATCTATAGTTAGTTTGCACCAGTTTCTACCAGTTCTAGTGTTATTGTGTCTATTGACTTAATATGATAGTGTTGAATACGCAGCAATAGGATCACAACTCGGATGCGTGCGACTACCACCAAAACAATACAAAAACACGTCCGGACATTTTCGATCATGGAAAAATAATTCGTGACGTAATTTTCGTTTAATAATAAAGTGACCGCCGCTCGACCAGGTGCAGTCGGCCAAGCAACCGGCTAAAGTATCGATTCTACAACGTTCTAATTCGGCCAACCGAACCAATCCGTATTGGTAACCGGGCGACGTTTGCAATAGACTTTCAATGAGGGACATTTCTACCGCCTTTATTCGGCAGTGAACGTGAAAGCGGCGCAATGTTCTTGTTCTGAGATGAAGTCGTTGTTATAAATACTGTTATCCGAATCCAGGGGGTGCCACGTCGTCGAAATCGCTAGTTTGTTCCCTCTTGGGAAAGCTGTAACATGAAATAAAAGTAGTATAGAGTAGAGCTAAACTATAGAGTAAAACTATAAGTAGTAGAGAATACTAAGTAGAATAGTAAGTAGTAGAGAATACTAAAACTATAAGTAGAGTAGAGTAAAACTATAAAAATAGAGTAGACTGTCAGTGACAGTTCTAGATTCTTTTAAATAAAGTTGTTTCGTCTCATGAACAGTATATTTATCAGAAGTTGACAAAAACTAATACATCACATACATAATATTAAAAAGATGTAAATATAAAACATGATATTTGCTTCTATCTTGTATTTCCGTCAAGATTTGAATAGTAGCAGACATGAAAACATCGCCCGTTTCTTTTATTTAACTTATTCCCTTCATCATTAAAAGTGTGACGCAAACAAATAGCTTTACTGCTTATTTATTACGATTACTATATTATTAATAAATTTACTTATTTATTTATTGGTTTATTTATTGGGTTTCATAAGTAAATGAATGAGCGTCACCTTGTGCGGCAAACCCGGTAGGAGTCTTTGACTCATGTAGTACGATCGCAGGTAGTCCGGAACCCGCTTTCCAAACTATACCCGAAAAGAAACCGTCTCAGTTATTTAAAATGTGTGAAAGTAAAAGTCACGACATAATTAAAAATATGTTTTACATCACGGTCAGGACCTGTTTGCATCAGGGTTAGGAGAAGCGAAGCGTTAAACAAATACTAGTAATTATCGAATTGGCAATGTTTTAATGTATGGTACTCTCTCTCTCTCTCTCTTTCTTTCTTTCTCTCTTTCTCTCTCTCTCTCTCTCTCTCTCTCTCTCTCTCTCTCTCTCTCTCTCTCTCTCTCTCGTTCTCTCCCTATTGCTCTCCCTATCGCTCTCTCTCTCTCTCTCTCTCT